AATCGCTTCATAGCTTCAGTGACGTGAGCCTCAGCGATCTGCATAGGTCCTTTGAGCTCCTTCAACCCCATCGCGGCCAACGCCTGATCGAGGAGGATTGCCACGGTCGAGACGTGGGACGAGTTGCGAAGGGCAGCACGGACACCTTCAGCCTCCTTGGCTTCACTGATGTTCGTTGGAGCCTTCTTCAACAAGGCTGCTGTATGATGGCGTGGAAACCCATCAGGACCTCGCGCTCCTCGGCCACCAACGGCCGCTCCTCGTACACCTCGGTGACCACGGTGTATCTCTGAGCATAGGTGTATGGTAGGGTCTGGAGGCGGCTTCTTCCTCGCGATGCTTCTTGTAAAAGTCGGAAACCTGAGGGTCTTGTTCATTCACAGTTGGGTCGAAGGAAAGCCAGTAACGGTTCGGTCTTGATGCCGGTGAAGGTGATCTTGTCGAAGAGTTCGTGCTCCTTCACCCCTGGGCCTCTTCACCCTGCTCAAACACCCGCTGTCGATCATCAGCGGTCGCATTTTCAGGGCGTTTGACATCTCTTCGATGTCCTCCAGGTCAGCCACGACATTCTCCAGCACCTTGACCGTCCAGAGGTTCTTCTTCTGCGCAACTTGATCCACCATCTTGAAGACCCGGACTGCCTCATAGAAAAGGCGACTTCTGGGGTCCCTTCAGGTGCTCCCGTAGCGTGGACAGTCTGCTTAGGCCTTGGCATGGGCTTCCTCCTCCAACGATTTTTATCTGGGCATAGGGGAACAACTCGAGGGCGCCTTTTCCATTTGCTTCATGTCAAACGCTTGGATGTCGCTGATGAAGCGCATTCCAGGGTATTTCCTGTGCAAAAGGCGTCGGCGTCCCCGATCTCTGTGGCTCTTCTATAAGGAGCTTTTCAGGGCACCTGACCTCTTTAGAGGCTCAGGCAGGACATCAAGGATAATCTGCTGCAATGTGATCCTCAGCTTTGAGCCCCAATCACCTCCAGCTGCCTCCACATCTGACACTACCAGACCATGCCAAAGACAAAGTCCTTCATAACGAAGTTCGTCCTGGTCTCTCCTTGAGTTCGCCATTGACCCCACCTCTTCAGGGGCTCTCCTCTCGGCTTCAACCTGCTGGATGGCTTTTACTCGAGTCAAACCACAACGCGAGAGGCAACATGCAGGTCTCGCTGAGTCCCATCGTCCTCTTGTGGGCTGCTGAGAAGCCGCCTGGTACGTCGCCTCCAAAGTTTGGCATCCTGCGAGAACTTGGAACTACCAGATCACCTTACCCGTGATCCCTACTCGTCTGCCTTCCACTTAGGCCAGAACGTGTTTCGGTGCTGAGATCATGCAGTGGGGAAGAAACTACACCCCAAAACTGGATCTGGACAGAAAAGCTACGTCCGGGCACGAAATGCAGGAAAGGCGGCGCATGGTGGCCTGAAACCAAGGGCAACACAGGCAAAGGGAAAGGCTATGGTCGACCAGTACCCAAACAGCCCCAGGGCACCAAGCAGACCTGGCCAGAAGCTCCACCAGGTTTGACCAAGTTCAAACCACTCAAACGAACCAAAGTCCAGCAAGAAGCCTCCATTCTTGGAGATGTTCAAGACAGACTTCAGGCCATTGGCATAGGTCCCACCAAGCCGGAGGAGCCTGAGCTCACTGACCTGCTCAAGACCCACATGCCCTACTGCAACAAGAGTTGGTGACCAAACTCACCGCCCCCGAGCCGATCACTGAGAGAGAGATTGCGGCGCAACTCAAATCCCAGGTCACCGATCTCAAACACCTCTCCATTCGGAAAGCACACGTGCAGATACGGCTCGATCAGGTCAAGACCCAATATGCCACCCTCCTGCAGGACACGCAAGACCTACAAGGTAAGCTCTCAGATGGCCAACAAAAGCTCAAGCCCCTCTCCGAGGTTACCATGAAAGCAGTAAACCAGTCACCTCAGCCAACTGAACTCGCTGCAGAGGCCCCTGAAAAAAATGAACAGATCCCCATGGCAGTCGAGTCCGTTGTACACAGATTAGGCATCTCCCTGTCGGAGGAACAAAAGTCCCAACTTCACGGACTACTCAAACGTCCAAATCTGGACCCTGAGGACCCAACCAAGCGCAGGAAAATGGAAACCGGCAACACTGCCCCACAAGGCGGACAGTGTGGGTAACATGCACCGCGCAGGCCTTGAGGCTATGAATGGGGTTTCAGTTCCAGTACCAGATAACGAATTTGAAGTCACACTGGAGTTGGAAGCCTGGTTGCGTGCACCAATGGGCTTGCCGTGCAGCGCCTCCTGGCTCAGAACCACGGGACATCAAAGACTCAGACAGGGTTGCTGGGGAAATGCAATTTTTCCCGAGAGCGTCTGCGAAGGGTTCTTCGTAAAAAACATTTGTAGAACTACGTCTCATCTACATCTTCACATCTTCACATCTGCACGTCTACATCTTTGCTCATCTTCACATCTGCGCATCTACAGCTCTGCACATCTTCTACATTTGCACATCTACATCTCTGCTCATCTTCACACCTTCACATCTGTACATCTGCATCTACATCTTCACATCTGCGCATCTCACATCTTCACCGCTCTTCTTTTCTTTCTCTCTTAAGGTGGGGACTGTGCCGCCGGAGCACGACGAAACGCAACCCTCTGCGGAGATCGTGCGTGTCGAGGGCGCGAAATGCAGGGGAGAATGCGTTCTTTCTGTGTCCGGCGCAACCCTCTGCGGAGATCGTGCGTGTCGAGGGCGCGAAATGCAGG